TCATCATCATCACCATCATCATCATCGTCATCACCATCATCATCATCACCATCGTCATCATCGTCATCACCATCATCATCATCACCATCATCATCATCGTCATCACCATCATCATCATCACCATCATCATCATCGTCATCGTCATCACCATCATCATCACCATCATCATCATCATCACCATCACCATCATCATCATCGTCATCACCATCATCATCATTACCATCATCATCATCACCATCATCATCATCGTCATCACCATCATCATCATCATCACCATCACCATCATCATCATCATCGTCATCACCATCATCATCACCATCATCATCATCATCATCATCACCATCATCATCATCATCATCGTCATCACCATCATCATCATCACCATCATCATCGTCATCACCATCATCATCATCATCACCATCATCATCATCGTCATCACCATCGTCATCATCATCATCATCATCGTCATCGTCATCGTCATCACCATCATCATCATCATCATCATCTACATATTGAAAGTCCACTGACGTGGCATTTCAAAAATACGCAACCCTTCCGCAATTCCGGCGCGGAGCAACGTCAGGGTTGCACCGAACATATTTCAACATGTGCTTACATGTGTTTACCTCAATCAAAGAGGTGTTTCCTGCATTTTTCCGTAATTTCTCCTTCCCGTTGAAGCAAATGCACTTCCCAAAAACATGGCCAGCTCCGCAGCTCCGCTGGCGCCTGAAGTTCCAAGACATCGAGCCGTTCCTCGTTGGAGCTCTGCGTCAAGGTGATCGGCATCTCTGACGAGGCGCGCGACATGTGAGACACCTGGGGAACCGAGGAGAAGGCTGTGTTCGATATCAAGAAACAAAAAGATCAAGAGAATACAATATATGTAAAGAAATGTAATGAAATGTAATGTAATGTATGTGTATAACTGTGTATATGTATATGTATGTGTATGTGTATCTGTATATGTATATGTATATGTGTATGTATGTACATGTATATGTGTATGTATATGTGTATGTATATGTATATGTGTATGTATGTATGTATGTATGTATGTATGTATGTATGTATGTATGTATGTATGTATGTATGTATGTATGTATGTATGTATGTATGTATGTATGTATGTATGTATGTATGTATGTATGTATGTATGTATGTATGTATGTATGTATGTATGTATGTATGTATGTATGTATGTATGTATGTATGTATGTATGTATGTATGTATGTATGTATGTATGTATGTATGTATGTATATGTATGTATGTATGTATGTATATTATAACGCATATCGAGAAAGAGATAGCTGAGATAGAGAATGATAGAGAGATAAACACATAGACAAAATTAGACAAATACATACGTCAGATACGTGTGTACCATTGTATACCCCTTTCATCCGATGCTTGGACCTCAAGTTTCGCGCCCTCCACTCTTCAAAACTCCGGAAAATGATGCACAATCGACACCGCATGAAACCGCCTAAATCTTCACATTCAAATTATGGAAAAAAGAACAAATCAGTTGGATGATAAATCATTATTGTTTCATTATTTCCCCATTTCAATTGGCCCAAACAAAAAGATTGGGGCCCTTTCCGACCAACCGCCGGCGGCGTGTTTCAAAGCTATCGCTACCTGGAAATCTCCAAGTCCAGCAACATGACCTGTGGCTGAAATACTGGGAACTGAAAGATCTTAAAATGGGAATACCGTGACTCCCATTTTGATCTGGATATAAAAACCAAGCATTCTATGGGAATATTCGGAATAGACTGTAATTTGAATATCATTGAATAACATATTTTGTATGGCGGGAATAGAAGAGGGTATATAACCAACAGTAGTGATATGGGTTTGGTACCTTTGAAAATGGGGTAGCCCCAGCCAACCAAAGGATTTAAAAATTACCAATGTTTATACATGTCAATGTCAATTTGGGGTATACCCAATTTTTGGACTAAGCCAAATAGTTAAATAGTTTTGGGATTTCATTTACACCTGGGTTGGATTTTCTGAAACACATTGCCGCAAAGTCCCCCTTCAGCAAAGTCACCTGGGATGTCATCTTAGTTTAATAAAGTCTTCATAGAGGGAAGGGGGATACTAATGGAGACTGGACTCATGCCTCTTCCAAGACCCTTTCCATCCCTTTTCCCGTGGACCAATCTCTCAGTTCAGGAAGCCTTGATTATCAGGCAGAAACTCAGGTACCTATTTAATTGTGCACGCTGCACCCCCTAGACAAAGGACTTAAAACAAAAATGCAAACTCCGGCTGGCAGTACAGGAATGTGGAGACAGTGCTATCAAGGAGAACTTAATGTTTTGAGTATAGCCTCAAGCCAATATGAGCCAACGATTCGTTGATCACGAACATATCTCTTGATATCCGCACTAGGCTTGAGGCATGCAGAAAGCCTTAGAGTTGTTGTTGCTGCTGCACAATGGAAGTTCCATGCAACTCATGGCGGTAAAAAAAGAAATTGGCTGATCTGATACCCTGATCTCCTCTCTCCTCTACTCAAATACCACTAATATATGTTTATATATATATGTATATGTATATACATAAGTATTGTCATTTTAACTATAATTACTTAGAATTACTGTATATATAATTATACATAATATGTTTGTGTACATATATGATCATATATGAATGACATTGTCTTGCGCACTTTCCGAACTGCCTGGTTGGCTTTCATCTCGGGAAAATTCCGAAGTCAGAAGGCTGGATCCTGCCTGAGAAAACACAGCACTTCATTTTGACACCCCGAACAATAATGATTCACTAAGGGCTTATTGACAACCAACAACCACTAAGGAGGCTTATTCACCAGCTATCATTGAGGGGTGCCTTTTGAGGGATGTCAGTTAAATCAGATAAATCGATGATATGCCTTTGAGCTAGATTGTCCCTGATGCTCCCAACCTTCTTGACTGCAAGGAGTTCTTTCTGCAGTTCATCAATTACCTGAGACTCTGCTGAAATCAGTTTGACATAGTTTGACAAGGAGGGGGTGCAGACATTCTGGCAAGTCTCATGGAATCTCATGGATAAATGATGTCGGTTGACATCAAAATCATCATGAGGAGTTTGTCCCAAACAAGCCTCACCAGGCTCACCAGATCTCACCATCCAAGCTTTTGTGCCATCGCTGGGGCCCCGGCAACTTCTGTTGCCAAGCGTCCGCGAGTGGTCTCCTGCTGTCGCGAGTTCATTGGTGACCAGGATCTTGCAGGGTGATGCGATGGGTCTGTTCTCCTCATGAACTTCGTTGACTTTCTGCTGGACTTCTGCCACACCCTGCCACAAGGATAAATCAACTACAAAAAACATCTGCCCGTTCCCGCCAGAAAGAATACCAAAGGAAAACCAAATCATATCCACCCTTGCACAGTCTCTGCACTGCTTTGAATTCTCCAAAACATGGTAGAGCATCCCAAAGACATGTTCGTGGACTTTATGCTACATACGTCCAAGCTCGTTTATCACCTGAATTTCAGAGCAGGAGCGAATGAGACTCAACAACGTTTCATAGCAATGATTTCGATACATTTCGAAAAAAAAAAAGATATACCAGCAAGACAAATCAACGGTCACATGAATTTGGACAAAATCCAGTTGAACTTCAGAGTCTGAACAATGAAACCGCTGCAGCAGGGAGCAGAAGAAACCATGGATCGGAAGAAAGCAGTTCAAGATTAATCATCATTAATCACCATTAATCACCATTAATCAATTTGTGTCAATTTGGACTAGCACTAGACTGTAGATATGTGTAGATCAGGAGAATGGCCACCAGCAGCAAAAACCCACAGAAATCTAAAACCCAAATGATGAGTCTGACAGGAACTCTGAGGCTCCGGCATTTTCGGCCAACACAAATTTGCTCACATTCTCCTGGGATCAAAATAGAAGATGAGAACAGCATGCTCAGAATATCATGTTGCGTCATGTTGGATAGACTGTGTCTCTGCCTCAGAGACAATCACGATCTTTTCCTGGACATCTTGCAACGCCTGGCAATCTGCAATGGCAGTGGTGCTGGTGCTGGATTGCACCTCAACTGGATCTTCAGCTATGACTGCCATCCCCAAAATGTCAATTTCCCCATCATTCCACGACAAGGGACCCGCTGCCACCCGGTGGTGCCCACTGACCTCCCAAGCTGCATCAACTTTGCCCTCCACGGTGCAGCAAGCCTAGGGAGCACGTGAGCAAGTGGAACAGTGATAGGTCAGAATGATGTAGCCCTGATGATAGGTTGGGGGTACTTTGGGGGTCTTTTGGGTGTTTTTTTTGAGTGATAATGATATATTATATATATAATATAATACTATATATATAATATAATACTATATATTATATATATATGATTTTATATATATATAGAGAGAGAGAGGTGAGAGACTATATATAAATGATTACAAATGACAAACGACACAGCACTTTGTGGGTCCCAACCCGTCGCCATTTGCTCGCAAAAATCCACAAACTTTGCCAAGAGCTCGCCTGTTGCATGGACTCCTGGACTGCTTGCATGGCGGAGAACTTTTTGTTCATCTGCTCCTGCTGAACCGTGGGGAGAAAAAGGGAGAACTGGGATTCTGGGGGCCAGTACATAGCAACACATGGGATTGTCTGTTGCCGAAACCATGTGAAACCATGGAAGTCTGGCTACCTAAAGCCTTTGAGCATCTTGGCTTGAGCATGGTGGAAGATTCTGCCAGGGCATCAACATGTGTCAATATCATAATATCATTGCGCATTGATGATCTGGTCGTATTCTTCACATCTTCATAGGAGAGCAACGCCAGTACATTCAAGCCCCGATTGCTTGACCTTCTGGTCGTACTTTCCAATGGCTTGTTGACTAGTGATTGGCTCATGCCTTCACATTCACATCTGCACGCTATCGCTATCAAATCAAAGGGCTTCTGGCAATATCGTGGAAATTCTGATTAAAATCCTCCCTAAAACCACCATGAACAGCCTCAAAGAGATGATGTTCGCAGGTTGATCATACGTTTTATTGAACGTTAATTTTTTGGGGGTCCATGTCACTATATGGCACTATTATATTCCATTATTAAACACAGCCATTCTTTGGGGATAAATGTCACTGGAAGGTATTCAGCTGATCTCTTCTGGTCCTGGTCACTTTGTCTGAGATCGTGAGCTGCCTTTGAAACGCAGAGTCGAGGGTGGGATTTATTATGTTTGAGCTGGAAGAGAACCAGCAATGGATGTGGATGTTGTGAAATTGAAACAACAATCAGATTTGTATAGATCTAATATAATATTATAGATTTATGTATAATTTGTTTAATCACGTGAAGCCAGATCTGTACAGTAGCCCTTTGGGACTCAACCCCTTCCACTTCGTTAGATACGAGTACTTACCCGACCTGCTGCTGAAATTTAGGTGCACCCAAGTCGCGCTAATTGCAACATAGATCAACTCTCTCTCTCTCTCTCTCTTTTTCTCTCTTGAAAACAAGGAGTGACAACATGATGCAGCATGGAATTGTTTTGGAGGTGTAGATGAAAGTTTCATGTAGCAGATCACCAGTGCCCGCACACCTGGCGCGCGTGTGCCATTTCATTGAACGCGTCAATCCTGAGAGCCTCCGATGGGGCATCAATGGCGATCTTGTGGTGGAAAAGCTCAAGATGTTCTGCGCTTACCGAAACTTCTCGTCAAAGTAATTTCAAATGTCAACATAGCATCATACAACAGAGTATTTGTGCAATTCGAGTTGTATTTGAAGTAAAGATAATAAAGTATCTTGAATCTTGAACTCATTTCAGTGAGCCGTTCAACTGCTTATGAGAAGCAAAGCTGTCCTTTCTCGCTTGCTCATTGCAGTCCATGCGTTCCGTCAAACGTTCCAGCCCCTCCTGATGCCAAGGTTCTCTGAGATTTATCAAAACCCGAGACCCAAAGTTTGGTACTCTTGCATCTGGCTGAACCCCGTAAAACAGGAAGTTTCCAATCAACACTTCCACTGATAATTATATGATATCATATGAATCATATTATATAATATAATAATTGCATGATTATGTGCCCATAGCATCCCATAGCAATAGGTGATCATCATTCACCATGCTCGATCGGATTCGAACAGTCGTTTCATGAGCAGTGTCAATGCTTCTTGATCAAGACTTGATGAAGGTCCCTGTGGCATTAAATCAAGTCTTCAGAAGCTCAAGCTGGATCAAGAAGACATGGAAACACATGGCAACACATTGGATATGAGTTCACACCCTGATTTAATTTATAGAATGAAAGGTAGCAGCATCATGCGAACTCATGCGCTTCCCAAAACTGTTGAACAACAAACAACCCATACACAGCAACGAGTTGAATGACTTCAGATGCAACCATCCATTTGCATAGTTTCCCACTCCCAATAATCCTAAGTGGAGACGTGCTCCTGTTCGAGACTTTCCAACTTTAACATTGAAGCGACATCTTCTATGAACCAATGGTCGCCAAACTGGTGGGTGATGAAACTGCGATGGTCCTCCAAACTCTGCGAGGAGGAGTCGAAGCGTCTTCCTGCTTCTTCCCGGAAGTCCTGTGATCACTGATGACTGGTAGCAGTGATCAGGATAAAAGGTAAAATATGGTAAAATGATGCAAAATGATGTAAGATGCCTTTCGAGAGGCTGAGTATGGATCAAAACTATTTGCCCAAAATTGGTCGGTTGAAAGATACATTGAAATTACTCGCAGTACATATCTGAAATTACACGGGTCGGTGCCTTTATGGAGTCCGTGGCAGTCCACAAGTTTGACCCATACCGAGTTGCAAATTTCTAACCAATGTTGCAGCCTACTGCAGACTCTTGCAGCAGACTTCCAAAGCTTGTTCCCTCCCGGTGCATGCTGGGTTGCATAGAACAGATATGAAATGGGTATGGCAAAAAAAAACATGTCCCTCCAAAAGCGGCTGGTTCAGTGCCAAACATGCTCTTTTTCTGCAGATCCATTTGGCATCGAAATTTGGGTTGGCATAATACAGAACGCGTCAGCAGCCTCTCCTCAAAGTTGTGCTTGTGCGACTCAAGCTTGCCATCGAGTTCCTCCCTGAGCACCTTGAAACCATCATCCCCATCACCAGTGTTTTTTTCCCCACCTGCCAGGTGAGGGTTGTTAGATTTTATGTCAGTTGCCTCCTCCTCCTGCCGCCTCCTGCCTCCTGCCTCCTCCTCGTCCTCCTTGTCGTCCTTGTTGTCCTCGTCGTCCTCGTCGTCCTCGTCGTCCTCGTCCAACTGCGACCCGCGATCCACAGTGTTCGCTGCCGGAACCACGACCATCCACGACCAGTGTTCCCTGCCGGACCTCAACCACGACCAGCCACGCCCAGTGTTCCCTGCCGGACCTCAACCACGACCAGCCACGCCCAGTGTTCCCTGCCGGACCTGATCTGCGAGTATCCATGCCAAGTGTTCCCTGCCGGACCTCAACCGCGGGTATCCATGCCAAGTGTTCCCTGCTGGACCTCATGTAGGAAGATATGGGACAAAGAATGTGCAGAAGAAAGTTAGAAAGAATGTCAGAAAGAATGTCAGAAGATATGCCAGAAGATATGCCAGATAGAATGCCAAAGAGAATGCCAGATAGAATGCCAGAAGATATGTCAGAATATATGCCAGAAGATATGCCAGATAGAATGCCAGATAATATGCCAGAAGATATGCCAGATAGAATGCCAGAAGATTTGCCAGATAGAATGCCAGAAAATATGCCAGAAGATATGCCAGATAGATATGTCAGAAGATATGCCAGAAGATATGCCAAAAGATATGCCAGAAGATATGTCAGAATATATGCCAGAAGATATGTCAGATAGAATGCCAGAAGATATGTCAGAATATATGCCAGAAGAATGCCAGATAGAATGCCAGAAGATATGTCAGATAGAGTGCCAGAAGATATGCCAGATAGAATGCCAGAAGATATGCCAGATAGAATGCCAGAAGATATGCCAGAAGATATGCCAGATAGAATGCCAAATAGAATGTCAGAAGATATGTCAGATAGAATGCCAGAAGATTTGCCAGTAAGAAAATGTATAAATGTCATGGTGGGGATCACACGAAGTAAAGTAATTTTTTTTTGGGTTACCATGATTTACCACATTAGGAGCAGCTCCCCCACAAATGTTAGTCATATATAGTCATATTTGTTTACATCCCGTAAATCCATGTAAATCCTGTATCATACTGTTCTGCATCTAGCGAAGCCCATGGTTGGAGGCCCCAGCCTGGCACTTGGCGGATGTATCTTTTTGACATTGAGCCTCAGAAAGCGACATAAATGAGAGTGACAGAAGGAAATCGTACAGCTTGCAGCACAATCTGGGCGGCTTCAAGCTACGTGAAAGTGCATGGAGCATCGGAAGATAAGCAGCATGAAACCATCAACCAAGGCAGCTGCTAGGTAACAGGTGATGACAAGCGACTCAGTTCGACAGTGAGCTGAGATTCCGAGCAACAGTCCAAGTGCCATCCACCACCTGGGAGTGGCAGCATGTGGCAGCTGATGCCACTGGACTGTTTCAACAAGTGCAGCTGGTGACAAACGAACTTTCTCAAATTTCAAGCTGCCTGTGCACTCAGCCACTTCATTTTGTCCTCCACCTCCTTCAAAGATTTGGTGACATCAAAACATAGCAAAACCTTCAAACCCGGATCAAACCTCACGAAACCTCACAGATACGCGGAGATTCCATGAGATTCCTAACGGTGTGCCTTTGGAGGAGAACTAGATCACGTTTCGACACGTTTCGAGTGGCCAGAGGCTCTGTCCTTTTGCAGATCTACCACTTGAGCAGTACAGGCACTCGAATTCTGAAGCATCAACTCCTTGCTTCAGCCGCACGAAGAAATCATGCCATCAGAAACTGGAAACACTTATCCTCTAGGAGCCTTCAGGGCTGCTAACATGCTGACAGCATGCTGTATGCGGGTACCCTCTGGTAATTTAACATGGCTATGGAAAATCACCATTTTTGAGGGGAAAATCCACTATAGATGGCCGTTTTCAATAGCTATGTTATATAGTTTACCAGAGGGTAACCACATGCTGCTAGATACTACTGCTGCTCCTTGACCGAGTGTTGCTCATCCTGTAAGTGGCCGAAGGTATCCTGAGGTCCAGACGAACTCCGGCACGCGAACATGAGCCACATCCAAATACTGATCTCCGATTGGAGAATATATCATTCATACATCCAAATGCCTTCAAATTATGTAATAAATATGTAGCAATTCTGCAAGAGTTTCAGTGGAAAGTTATCTCTGTAGCTTCACGTGCCTTCATGAGCCCGAAGTCCCGCAGCAGGCTTTGAAGAAGCACTGCTAAGCGGATCAGCTCTTTTTCAACCTACCAGGATCTACCAGGCAACGGACGACTGAGTCGGGGAACAAGGGGAACAAGGCGTGCCGCGCAACCGCCTCCACCCCACTCATTCGTCCGTAAAAGCGGTCCTGGCCGACGGCCGTGTGATGAACAACAAGTGGATCTTAAGTGAATTCCATCAACTGGCAACGCAGTGAATCATCAGGTTTGCAAGGCATTTTCAGAACAAAGGAAGTTGGTGGGAAATGAGCAGAGTTCCACTTATCCCCATAGTATTGAAGTGTCAGGAGCAAATCAGATTCAACACAAACCATGAGGGCGGATGAGGCGACAGAGTTGTTCTTTGTTTTTCACACTGGAAGCGGTGTGAACAACGGAGTGTCTGCACCTTCGCGTCAAGGCCCAGGTTTACACCTGCACTACCTCAATGATGCTGCAGATCATGTGGCAACACTGCCAAAGACCGAGCAGATATATGACATGAATATCATGAATGTACATTAATCATGGCAATATATGGAAATGTCACGGCAAACCTGATTGCGCCAGTGGCGGGAAAGTGAAGTCGCCTTCTGTACATATGTAGCGTATTCTGCACTGATTTCCACAATCTTCACATCGAGCCTGGATCCAATTCCGGATTGATTCCATCCTGCACCAACGGTTCAGCTCTGCTTGCAACCCTGTGGATATGTCGCTGTTTTGTGCTGGGGGCAAAAGGATGAGACTCTGGTTCGACATGTTGGAGATGGTGGGAAGATGCAGCTATTTGTATATCAAAATATGTGCATGTAGGTGTAGGTGTGTATATATATAATACATTATAGTACGTACACAATCGTACACGTACACAATATACATGTACATACATGTACATACATGTCATACATGTACTATGATCAAGTACAGTATCTACGTCCCGATTGATTTGCCAAACTGTCCCAAAGAAAACCGTCCCCGTCACATCACCACCACAACAGCTGCCTGGACTTGGATTCCATCATGTGTTCATCAACTTTTCTCATATATGCCATTCCGAAATTCCGAAATGGATCGAAATGGGAAAATCCGAAGCCAACCAAAACAAACATCATATGAACACAAACGGACTCTGTTTCGCAAATCCAATCAGCTTCAAAACTGAGACTGTCTATTGATATCTATTGATAGAAGCAGGATGATGCTCTCTGCAGCAGTGGACTGTCCTCATCAACTGGCCAGTTCTCTGCCGCTGTCAAGACCTTCGCAGGAGTGAAGCAACGAGACATGGGCTGATGTCCAACTAGGAATACCATAAAGAGATACAACACGATACAACAAAGAAAGATGGGCATGAGGCAAACAGGTGTATGTATTGTATGTGCATATCACGGGGTTAGAATATGATAGAATGGGATATCCCCTTCCTCCAACTACCAGTAACACACATCCTGCTGAAATGAGATATATAAGGGTAAGGTTTGGAAGACCACTTTCCTCCAACAATTGCGCAGTCTCAGGGTGTATGTTGCTTGGGGACATGGTAAACGCCAGCCAAACTCTGATATACTGGAGCTGGTTGGCTCTTTCAATTGGATTAGTGCCAGTTGTTTGGCCATGTTCAATGATGTTACTTACTTAGCAGACTGTTCCAACAATCGGGGAAATACAGCAATCATTGGTTTTCCATGTTGTCACGGCAAATAAATATGTCTGTACACTTGCATATAATACACCATGTTTGAAGATTGTGAAGTCCCATGATTGGACAAATTCACATCCAAGGTGCTATTCGTACATCACAGCAATCACAAATCTTCCGATGGGCATCTGTGTTAGTCCCATGTGCCAAAAAGGCTCTTTTTTTCTCTCAAAAAATGGAATGTCCAAGTCTAAGGTCGTAGAAGGTTCTGAACATCATCAAAAATTGGATCCTCCAATATCCTCCCAACATACATAACATACCTCCAACATACCAAGCTTTTGACCCAACAATGTTCCATCATGTTCCCAACCTCCTGTGCAAGGTCTCGCGGCTCCGGAGAACCTGACGGTCATAAAAAAATCTGCACCCAACCATCATGACCATCATGAGATCTTCTGTGGTTTCAAAGCTGTCCAATGGGTTGAATCACTGGAGTAGACGGATATCTATGATATCTCTTACTCATCCGTGTTTTTTTGTTCCTTTTTAGCTGGGCTATGTCAATGCGGGGTGACTTTTAAATACCCGTTAACAATATGTTCAATTTTAATTCCCCTAGTTTCAACATGAAACCGGCAGTTGAGATCCGAATTCAATTTTGAACCAACTTGACTATCCTGTGGTTTAGAAACTCTTAGTAGGTCCTTGGCTCCCTTGATACAACAATAGCTCCTTACCTACCTCCATTCACCTCAGGATAGTCCCATCCCGTGAAATAATTGGTTGAGAACAGTGTCAGAATCCGCTCAATTATTGGTTATGTCGGAATCCTCAATAGACCAGGTAGAGGTTGGTTGATAAACACCTATTTTAGAAGAATTTTTGTGTGCATAACCAAGCAAGCACCATTTCGAAAAATCATGGTTTTGGCATCTTTGATCGTCAAAGCTTTTAAACCACCAAATATATATATATATAATTATATAATTATATATATAATTATATAATTATATATATATATATATATTTGTCACCCCCATGAGTCACTGATGATTTAAGGTCCCACCATGTTTGACCTCTAGAAATCCGGTGAATTGGTGAATTCTGTCATAGTCTCAACTCAGTAAGCATCAACCAATCATCGTTTATCAATCCTCAGGTCTTCAGGTTTCATGGCGAAGGAAAGCGAAATGCTGGGATTTTTTTTGTTCAAAACACCTTCTCCTTCCATTGTTCACTGATTCATGAGGATTCCCAATCCATGGATTATGATAATCCCCAGTTCATTTATCAACTGTACCATCTCTCCATATCTGGTTCAAAAATACCCCCAGTTCAAAACTGCTGGACACCCCAATTGAAAATGATGATAGTACGACACCATCAACCAGCGACAGGTCTTTGGGCCCCCAACTGCAGCAGGTCTTTGGCTCCAGGTCATAGAGCTGCTGCAAAGCTTTGGCACCTGGTCCATGGCGCATCCGGCGTTGACCATGTGATTACTATCTACCTACCTACCTACCTACCTACCTATCCATCTGTCTATTATCTAGATATATGGATATGAAATCATGAATGATGATTAAGGATATACTTTGTATACTAAAATTATACTCAGGATGGAAATATGATCCCATACGGTGAAATACGATGAAATGCGGCTAAATTTGATTGGTCGGTGTATGCAGTTTGAAAATGCAGGGAACATAGGGTTTGCCGAAAAGAAATTGGGACAGTAAGGAACGAAAAACTTGGAGGGTCAAAACTTCCGACCCAAAAAATGAATGGTTCAGCATGGGTTTGTCTGCAATTGGGGAGTTTACCCAAAATGTTGTGCAATCTTATGTAAGAGAGAACATGATGTTCCAACCTCTAAACTCTAAACTATGGAATCTGGGGTCTAAGCAATGAGACAACCCCATCTGGTTACACAGCATGAACTATAAACATGCTCAAAGCTGCTCTTCTGTTGGGAATGCCCAAGCAAATGGAAATGGGCCTCCCTATTCAGATCATGATACATTGGAAACGTCGATAAAACACAGCACTTGTAGGTGATATCCCGTGCTAGCTGTATGTATATGTGTACATACATAGATTCATGATGTTTTCCAGAATCAAAATTATCAGAATTGCAAGTTGCTATCATGTCATCGCTATAATATATATATATATTATTATATTATATTATATTATATTATATTATATCATATCATATCATATCATATCATATATTATACATAATATGATCATCTTGACTATAACGTTTGTCACCAGTGTCACTATGGCATCCGTGATTTTTAGCAATGCTTCACGCAAACCCTGGCTGCCGGGCCCGGCGCCTCGGATGGGTCGTGGATTCTCCTTCAAGCTGGGTGTTTTTAGGCGTGAGCTTTGTACAAGACGGCAGTGGTCACCTCAGTGAATACATGTTTTTTCCTCCAATTGCAATATTTGGGAATATTTAAGGGCTATACGGGTATAATCATGTATATAATCGGTATACACTATGCTCACTATACATCAGTTTTGGACAAATGCATACAAATCCATATTTGGGAACTGCAATCAATAATGATAATCAAAGGATATCAAAAGCATCATTTGTTCTGATGCAAGATTCAAGTCTAAACAAGACTTCACATGCTACAGCGTAAGTCACCAAAGGGCAGCACCCCTCGTGGCGGGACAGGCAAAAGCACGTCGGAAGCAAACACAAGGATGTCCAATTCAATGTTGGTTGGAGTGATTTTCAAACTCAGCACACTTAAGTCACCAGTCAAAGCAAAGGCTAACAAAACCCTGAACATAATTCACACCGGAACAAAGTTCGTGGCTGCCCACATGCACAGCACCCTTTTCTCTCGAAAACAGAAGTGGCAGATTTTTAGAGCGAACCTGGCAATCCGTCAGCTACAATCGGGTCACTGCACTTTACAAGGCAAACCAACGTTCCATGTAACTTCTTAAAGTACGAGACAGTGTATGTTGTCTGATCAATGGAAGCTTGCCGCAAAAAAGAACATATCAAGATTGTCTCTTGTAATTGTACACTAACCTCAAGCATTTAAGTGCATCTGAAAGCAAAGAGAAGAGGAGGGACACTCGAGTCGTCGGCGTTCAGTACAAAAATATATAACTGTTTTGGGGCACTTCTGGGAGCATGTGGTCCATGTATGAACATATCTAAATGCACTACATGGGTTTTGTCCAGAAAGGATTCCCCAACACCCCAAGATCCAGTGGTTTATCATCAGATGTTCCCCGCAAAATCTCGATTTTTGTTGTACCGATCTACCCCATATTCATATAATATCCCATGACATCTCCATTATAGGTGGTAAACATTCAATTTTTTGCTGGCATAAAACCCCAATGATCTGCCATATAGCATATCCCATTCATTAAACCCCTATATATATATATTATGGGATGCCCACACTAGTTTATATTCAAAACATGTTAAATCCTGGTATATCTCCATTATACACGTGTGTGCTATTGTCCAGCCTTTGTCTGCCTCGCCGTGGAGATTATTGGGAGTTCCTGGCCCGAGGCATGACATCTGTTCACAGCAAACATCAAACGCGCTGCTTGTCTTGCTGTATGTTGGTATGTCCAAATTTGGTTCTCAAGAAATGCCTGTCCTTCGAAGAATTGGTTTCTGGAGTCAAAATTCTTAGGGAACGCAGTGTTGCAAGGTGTGGCACAAAGCATGCAGCTCTAAGACAGGGGATGGTTCCGGGGATGACCAGAGGAGTGAAGGGTTTCAAGAAACCAAGCCATGTCGCAATATCGCAGACACGGACGGACACAGCAACAAACCAAAGGACAATGACAAGAAATTGGTGTGTGAAAACGATGCACCCAAAAAATCGATGGTTTTCAACTTTACCTCATGGCTTACAGCTAGAACCCCTCACCCCCAGTTCTATTATCCCCCCACACACCGGCACTCAGCATACGTTCAGCGTAAAAGCATAACAGCACCCTCACACCAGCACCTACAGCAAACATACACACACCAAAAAACTGCACAGCACCTCAACAGCAAAAGCATATACACAAACCAGCACAGAAGCTTCTTTTACGAGGGATAAATTAAATGACACAATCCCCGTGATGATGTGTCTCTTTGGCGTTTGCCGCGAATGAAGTGCTTCTGTGATAACGATGCAAGATAGTTGATTGTAATGATTTATTGTCGAATTGAAAACATCAAAACTATATGTGAATCATTGTGAATCTATTTTGAAGTACATTGAAGGAAACAGCAAAACAAAACACATTATATAAACATAAAAAACCAGATGGAATAACAATAACTATGACAATATCAGAATATGACTTAACATATTTAAATGTTAGATGTGATATATTCTACTACAATATGAGTTGGGGTCGGTTTGCAAGGGACACTTACAATCATACACTGTTTGTTTTTCATAAAAGCACAGGAAAACAAAAAGTTTAACATCTTTTAAATGATGCTTCTGATTCTAGTTAATCACATACTATTCATAATAATTCATTATTGAAATCGTGTTTCTTTATCCCAATAGTTTTAATCAAATTATTCTATCATAATTCAGAACTGTGTTAATTTTGTTTCTGCTCTTTTGTTTTGTTGTTCTGCTTCTGTGTTTTTTTTTGTTGTTTTGCTTCTGCTCTGTTTTGTGTACATGTGTGTTCTGTTGGGGTGCTGTGCTGTTTTTTGCTGTATTTTGTGTAAAGGTTTGTTGTGTTTGGGTGCTGTGCTGGTTTGCTTGCTGATGTACCCTGAATGTATGCTGGGTGCTGGGGTGCTGGATAGTATCTCAACTGGGGGCTGAGGGTTGCTAGCTCTTACTAATGTTGACATCTAAATTGAACAAAGAAATGACAACTCATGTAAAATCATGCAGTAAATCGAAATAAATCCAGCGGTTTATGGTAATGTCAGTTTTCTGGCAACGGTTTTTGGCCATTTCTGACGACTTCTCGGCGCCTGAGAAAACCATGTTGCAAGGCCTCCTCTGGAGCTAAGCGGTCGATTGCCTCGGGTACTAGACATTGGCCCAGCAGGCCGGCGAAGTCCTTCAGTTTCACGTCCTGCACGATGGGAATTGCGGAATGGTGTTGTAAAACCAAGAAGAATTCAAGAACGCCCTACCATTGAAGGGGATGATTGAATAAGTTTTACATATCTTTACTACAGTAACTACATCTATATATATAATATATAATATATATTGGATTTTTGAACAACTGGTATATAGACTACCTCCGGGAAGGTTTTCCTTGGCCCGCCCAGCCATTTAAACATACGGAATCCAATTTATTTAAATCATTTTAAATCATTTTACTGTAAGTAAATCTATATACATTTAAATATACGGATGGAACTGGTGTTTCATACCACCTCTGGGGCCTTGTGGTCTGGCCCGCCCTCCACATATCTAAATGTCGTTGCCGTAAACATGTCTATGGGCGGTCATTGGGGAAAGATGACACGCCATGCTGCATGCACCCTCACTGAGGACCTGCACAGAAAGACGGGAAGCACAACCACACAGAAGACACGTGCGATACACGGATTCTACGGTAACGAATGGTTCGAGATCCTCTGGTTGGTTGAAAAGCCTCAAAAGATTAGTCCTTGGGCAACTTGGGGATCATCAGCCTTGAACATAGTTCAACATGGTTGAACGATATATTTGAAACCACAAACCAGTCATGTGGCATTGATCCCTCAAAGGTTGGAGCAGTGAGTCCCTGATCTCCCTGATCCTGCTGTGCATACCAGACAGGCCAACCATTTTTGGTCAACACACTCTGGTAGAGTTGGGGATTTTTGGACAATTTTGGACATATGCCCAAGAAATCACGGCCACGACACAGAATCTTCTAGATTTTAGGGATGTTTGCTGTCAGTCTTTGAAATGAAGCCAAGCAAAGTGCCTGGCTCAGAATATCTCAGACTTGTTTTACTTTCTACTGTTGGCTTTTATGGCTTTTATGAATGATCTTATGTGCTACAGAGCAATCTTGATGCGGCACGCGACATCACTACCAAGTCCTGCAGCTTCTGCTGCAAACGCCCCAGAAGTGGAGTCAAAGGCTTGGCAAAGCGGCGCATGGGCAGTAGTTGCCTTTGAGTTGCAGAAATCTTTGGGTACCCAATTTTGATCCACACCCACTTGCTGCATGCTGCTGCAATCCATTATGCAGGATGTTCACAAGTCGTTGCACAAAAAACCTTGCCTGTCGTCTGTCTCATTCACAGCATCTTGTGGCACCAAGTCACTCATTGCCGTCAGTTCTTTTTCTTTTGAAATCGCCCTGCCATTGCACAGATACTCCCCATTCCTTCAGCATTTCATGTGAGGAAAATCACCCAACAGGTGCCACACGCAATGGTTTCAGCATGAAACAACAGGTGCCTCCAAGTTGAAGTGTTTCAAGGCATTCTTGCCTGCCTCAGCTCGCTTGCAGGCTCGGCTGTACATGAGTGAAAAACAGCGTGTCTAAAAATTGGGATGGGGCCCCCAACCCATAGCCTTTTTAATATCTGTCTCTGTTAATCTGTGAATTGGGAAAATGAATGTAAACCAACAATTCTTGGGCTTTCCCACAATTTTTAGGTATATACAAAAAGGCACACAGATGAAGCCAGCCGAGCAGCTGTAGCAAAGGCCTTTTTGAACGGCCCGCATGTGTTCAGCATGTCCTGACGGATAGCTCACAAGAATGACTGAAAGAATCCCAACAAACATGAGTGTATTCAGTAAATTCCAAGATAAAAGACCCAACAGTCGTAAATTACAGCACTTGCAGTACATTTGAAACACCTCTCCCTCTCTACACATTATTTGAAACACAAGCATCAGGAGCTGCAGCACTTTGTTGCTTCATACTCTGTGCCAAGCTACATAAAGCAGCTTGTTGTTGGAGTCTTCCTAGGCTGCTGTCTAAGTCTAGCAGATTGCCATTGAAACAGCTACTGTAATTACGTAACTTCCGAAGTCAACCCGTAATAAAATGTCTGCAAAATATGTTATGCCCCAGAAAAAAACAACATACTGTCACAAGATATCACATGTAATTACAGTATAGATCATGAGGCTGCAATCCACTGAAAATGCGAACCGTTGCCCAGCGGCGCCAAAAAGCACTTGTCCGTGAGCCAGTTCAAATAAGGTGGCACCAGCACTCCACATATCCACCCGGGTGCTATACCTGGAGAGAACAGGACCACTGCATTTCTATGATTGTTCTCCTGCACACCACTCTCAAATTGCAGCTCAGCCAGCGATCACAGCTGGTCTTCATAGGGGATTCCGAGCTCATGGATTTTATCATTTATCCCAATGGGGTAGTGCAACTCCCAATAACATCATGACCCATGTCCAGTTAAGCTACGACTGTCCCAAGATGATCTCAGGAGCTCTATAGCCTGAGCGCAGTGCGCGTCCAAGGGCAGGGAACAAATCGCGAAAAGTAACAGACTATGAAGCCAATGGTCCTTTGAGGGCCCTTCACCCCTTCATTGAGGGTGCTTGGTAAAGCCACAGCGTTCTTTTCGCAGGTTGCTCCAAGTAGCTGCTAATATATGCTCTTCGAATGTGCTTGATTTGCACTTCATCTTGCGTATCAACAGCACCTGATTGCAAGCAGTTTGCGGTCTGCCAGCTGGTGCTGGAAGAATCTTTCGATTCCAAAGTTCATCATATTTCATCATGGTTCATCTCCCGAAGTTTCGAGACAGGACTGTAAAACTTGAAGCACATACCCTCTGGTAAACTAACATAACTATGGAAAATCACCATTTTTAATGGGAAAATCCACTATGAATCACCACTTTTTTGCAGCCAAGGCCGGCACACCCAAAATCCGATAGCTTTACCGACTTCTTGTCCAGAGACATCAACAAGTTGTCCGGCTTGATATCAGTGTGAATGATCCTGGGCTGCCCAGAAAACAAATGGGGATGGGTCAAAACCCATGGAATCCCCTTTTTTGTTCACATCAAAATAGCTGGGATTTATGGATGTGAATAACCCCCTAAAAATGGTATGTATAGGTATTGATCCATAGCCAAATAATGGAAGCAATTTATCAGGGGATGGGGAAGGTACCATCAAGATTGCTGCCATCACACAGCAGGGAAAAAAGAATGCGCCGCAACTTCCACCATGTGCGGTCTTTTTTCCTGGTACCATTTGCCTTGTATTTGCAACAGTTTGGAACTAGAATCTGTCATTTTGCATGGTGTTTGCTACATTTTGGCATGCTTACTTTACATTTTGCATAGTATTTGCTACATTTGGCCATGTTCACCTTCCATTTTGCATGGTATTTGCCACGTTTTGGCACATTTTGGTACTTTCATGTGGGTTGCTTGAGAGTTTCTTTAGGCTTTCATTTAGTGTTTCATGTAGGGTTTCATTTAGGGTTTCATTAGGATTTCATGTGGGGTTTCATTTATTTTAGAGTTTCTTTAGGGATTCTTTAGGGTTCATTTAGGGTTTCATTTAGGTTTTCATTTAAGGTTTCTTTAGGTTTAGGGTTTCTTTAGAGTTTCATTTAGGGTTTCATTAGGGTTTCATGTCAGGGTTTTTTATTTAAGGTTTCTTTAGGTTTAGGGTTTCTTTAGAGTTTCATTTAGGGTTTCATTAGGGTTTCATGTCAGGGTTTTTTATCAGAATTTCCAAACGTTCATGTGGGTTTTTTTGGGCTTCTTCAGGGTTTCATTCAGGGTTTCTGTACGGTTTCATGTAGGGTTTATTTAGGGTTTCATTTAAGGTTTCATTTAGGGTTCATTTAGGGTTTCATTTAGGGTTTTATTTAAGGGTTTCTTATCAGGATTTCTTATCAGGATTTCCAAACGTTCATGTGGTTTTTCTTTGGGCTTCTTCAGGGTTTCATTTAGGGTTTCATTTAGGGTTTCGTTTAGGGTTTCTGTACGGTTTTATGTAGGGTTTATCTAGGGTTTCATTTAGGGTTTCATTTAGGGTTATATTTAAGGGTTTCTTATCAGGATTTCTTATCAGGATTTCCAAACGTTCATGTGGTTTTTTTTTGGGCTTCTTCAGGGTCTCATTTAGGGTTTCATTTAGGGTTTCATTTAGGGTTTCATTTAGGGTTTCATTTAGGGTTTCTGTACGGTTTCATGTAGGGTTTATCTAGGGTTTCATTTAGGGTTTCATTTAGGGTTATATTTAAGGGTTTCTTATCAGGATTTCTTATCAGGATTTCCAAACGTTCATGCGGGCTTCTTTGGGGCTTCTTTAGGGTTTCATTCAGGGTTTCATTCTGGGATTCTGTAGAGTTTCATGTAGGGTTCCTTTAGGGTTTCATTTAGGGTTTCATTTAGGGTTTCTTTAGGGTTTCATTTAGGGTTTCTTTAGGGTTTCATTTAGGGTTTCTTTAGGGTTTCATTCAGGTTTTTTTAGGGTTAATGTATGGTTTCTTTAGGGTTCATTTGGGGTTTCATGTAGGGGTTTCTCATCAGGAGTTCTTATCAGGATTTCTTAAGGTTTCTTTGGGTTTTACCTAGGGTGTTTAGGGTTTCATTTAGGATACAAACAGGAGAGAAGAAGGCAAAAGAAAAGAAAAAAACAAAGAGGCAGTAAAGACAGGAAGCAGAGAAGCAGAGGAGAAGGAAGTAGAGCAGCAAAAACACATGACTGAAGAAAAGAAAAAGTAGAATCGTAGAAGTAGCAAGGCACAGAAGCACAAAAGCAGAAAAGCAGAGAAGCAGGGAAAGCAGAGAAGCAGAAAAGAAAAGAAGCAGGTAAAGCAGAGAAGCAGAGAAGCATGAAAAGCAGAGAAGCAGGAAAAGCAAAAAGCAGGAAAAGCAAAAAGCAGAGAAGCAGAGAAGCAGAAAAGCAGAGAAGCAGAAAAGCAGAGAAGTAGACAAGCAGAGAAGCAGAGAAGCAGGAAAAGCAAAAAGAAGAGAAGCAAAGAAGCAGAAAAGCAGAGAAGCAGAACAGCAGAAAAGCAGAGAAGCAGGTAAGCATAGAACCAGGGACCCCCAAAAAAAATCCAAAACCTGCCGCGAAAAAAAAAATAGCCCTCCGGTCCTAACTAAGGCCAAACGACCATGCTTCGTGATTCTCGGTTGCGCAGCATCGAACACATATTGCTCTAATCGTCAACCAACTACCATGATTTCTGGATTATATTACTATGATGGATTGAAACAGTCAAAATCCCTAGAATTGGTGGTTAAATCCCCATCAAACCATATTATATAAACCGCTAATATCTCCGTTCAATATCTTTCAATTCCTTTCATATCCCACCCCAACAGTTTCTTTCCCCCAACTGCCCAGTTCTACGCAAAAAACGCTGTTCCTGATGGCCCGCAGAGCACGTAAGGCCAAGAAGAGGTCCGAAGCATAACGCTCCAAGTCCTGGGACTCCCATATTTGAGAAGTCAGCCAGTCGACAGCCAAATAAAATGCTGGGTTGTTTAATGAGATTATATAACTTTGATCAATCCCCACCATTGAGCTGAGCAAATGGTCATTCACCAGGCGGATCCAAGCGGTATTTGGGTATTAATACGGTCTGTCCAACATTTGGCACACCCTGACAGCTTTCAGTTTCTCTATTCAATTCCTCAAATAGATATCAAAACAGATTCTGAAGTGCTAAGTGCTAGAATCTGATAGATTGTGGGTATCCCCCATTTTGTTGCCTTCTAGACATAGACATATGGTTATCGGCTGGGACCACCCTACCTCATTCAAATCCCCCATGGCATGAGCCACCCTGACCTGCAAAGGGAAGCCTCGCCCACCTCGTCGCAAGGCGGTTCGCAGGTCATAACGCCTCGAGTCGTTCCAGTCTTCCAATTGGGTGGACCCCACTGGATCTTTGAGGTATATGGGTGTGTCTGAAAATAGTGTACCCCTAAACCCAATGGTTTTGCTGATCATTATCCCTATTAAATGGCTATAATTGGGAATATACCCTATTTTCAGACAAACCCATATACCAACTATTGGTTGGCTTTTGTATGAACGAACGATAGAAAGTGATTGGCGGATCCCTTGGGCATGACCGGCATGGATGTCCAAGCGACTGCAAATGGAAGATCAAAGCAAGGTGCCTCAGAAAGCTTGACGCCGGGGTATGGAAACCAAACAGGGAATACGCGCAGAAATCATCAAAAACCATCAAAACCATTAGAGACTGGAGATGATCAACCATCACTATCAACATCAGCCAGTTGGCTAATTCCAAACATAAGGAATGGATTGAATATTACATGTTATTTCGACGTGGCTGGTGCATCAAAGGAAAAGTGAAAAGGCGAGCAGCATCTGTCAATCCGACGCCCTACAGATGAAACGAAACATGTGCCAAATCAACATCGTGCAAAGATGTGAGCCCAAAATCGACTGATACAAGACTTCTTTGGAAGCAACCAATGCACCAACCAGAAGAGTTCCTATGAACAAAAGGTCGAACCCTCCTCGTTCATGTCTTGGTTGCAGCCGTCTGCTTAGCCAGGTGGCCCGTGGTGCATAAATGTTTCCTCGGATGCAGGAACTCTCGGTGATGTCAAACAGAAAATGGCTGGCAACAGGTCAGCATAGTTAATATGTAATTCACACCCCAAAGGCATATTATGCACATGGATCATACTCAAAAAATATGTGCGCACGTGTGCATGTATAATAGTTTGTGTATTATGTAAATGTAAACATTCAGACATAGATATTCAAAGATTGGTTGACACGTTAATATATGTTAATATATAATTGGAGCTGTGTGTGTGTGAATGTGCAAGAGGGGCAACAGAATCATGTAGTTCTATATATGTAGATAAGTTTATGTATAATATAATTATGCAAATATGGGAGAAGTGTACACAATAGTATACATTCAATGTACAGTATCGTATATAAATATATATTATATACAGGTATGAACATCATATGTGCATACTAGTATGTAAAATGTAAAACATATTCAAACATATGTGTAGACGTATAATCATACATTAATATTCATATATGTGCAAAAAAAACAGTATCTGTATATTAAATTACGTATATTAGTCTGTCTGTACGGATCTATATACGTAGTATTATACTGATATAGAATGTTATATACTGTTATGTTGTAGAAGTAAAATCGTATGCATCTTGGTGTCTAACCAATCTATTCTTTGGAAATCCACTAATGCAGCCCTGTGGGCTCCCGTTGGTGTATGCCTACAAATGACAGCTTAGCGGCCATTTTGTCACAGGCAGTAGGGACACTGTGAAAACAACCCAGCCAAGCCTTTGCTCGTCAAGAGCCTGTTTCACTTCAAGATCGTAGCCGGGATTTGACTCGCAGCCTTTTGGAATCTGGATCTTGGTCCAACAAATTCCACAGCAACAGCGGCTCGCGTCACTTCTCAGCATCCTCTCCGCCTTCGCAGTTCCAGCCACTTCGGTCGGGGAAAAATGTAAAAAATCTTACAATGGAGAAGACGCAAATGCACGGAGCATGGAATGACACCGTCCAATGCTCACAGTGGGGCCAGAAAGAGCCTCACAAAGCAAAACTGCTTCAAGATGCACCATTTAGAAAACAAAAGCACTGCCACACTGCACACGTTGCTCAAAAACAAGCCAGCCTCTATGGAATGAGGTATCCATAGCACTCCAACCTGAATGATTGGTTGACCCCCGAAATTTTGCAAGGCGTTTGTAACAAGCAAATAACAATATTGACATGGCTGATTGCAAATCACCAATTGTCTCAGCAAGATGCCAGCCTCTACGGCACAATGTAGCCATAAGGAGTGTCTTCAACAAGGCACTCGTCACAAGTATTAACACGTTCTACTGAGGGGAGGACTTGGAGGCACCGCGTTCAATGGAAGCTTCTTCGTCTTCATTGCTCCAGTTGCCGTCCTGCGGAGAAGGCATTCAAACTAGAAAGAACTCACCAAACACAAACTGGCAGGTCATTGACGCAACTGCAACTAGCAAAGAAGTTTCTGGCACAGACAACGGCGCGTCCTCTTGGCTAAATATGTCAATCTCATCCGCATCGCATTGGACTTTGTTTGGTTTCTCCTTCTTGATCGCCTCAGAGCAAAACAAGCTTTCAATCACTACTTTGTTTGTCTTCTACTCAACGTCAACTAAGGCACAGCATTGCACATGAACGCAAAACCATGAACTCACAGCACATGTTGTAGATGCGGACGCTCTGCTTTACATGTGTCATTTCTCTTCTGAAAAATGTTCCCACAACAAGATGAAAGAAATTCCGTTTGAGGTCTGCACCTTCTTCAAATATGCCTGACGACGTTCAAGTTGAGATACACAACATCTTATCCAAATTCAAATCCAGACCAAGCATGCACTAAAAAGCGTTCAACAAATACATGTCGGGAATGCGATATTTTGAGGCACTGGGTCGATTGGGAAAGGATTGCCGACGAGCTCAAAGCCACCCTTGTCGTCCTGCAAGGTCAGCAACCAAGACATTCAAATTCAACCTCTTCTAGCCTTGTGCTACTGGCTTGTGCTACTGGCATTTACTTACCAAAGGGCACAGCAAAGGAACAAGGGCATGGCAGAAAACATTCAAAGTCTTTCGTCTAAAACCTCTCCATGAATGAAAGTAATATTTTGTAAATATCGCTCAACAAACCCTGAGGAATAAATATGCTAGTGTTTTATGTATAAAACATTTACTTCCCTCAAAAGAACATGGCAAAGGAACAAGCAAAGGGCAGAGAAACAACATCTTGCGTCTAAGTCCTTTCGAAGTTGAATATTGGAAGACATCCAAATAAACAACAATGTAATCCCCCCAACAGTCCTGAAACAAAACGTGACAAGGCAAAGGATGCCAGAAAGAAATCTCTTGATGAAGTTTCGGCTGAACAAACCACTTGTATTTAAACCTAACACTAGTCAGAGGAACTTCGAAGGGAACAATGGCATCAACTGTTGCAGTGACTCTTGCAAATAACAATGCTTTTGACGCTTGAGTGGGAGAAATGATGGAACACAACCCTACCTTTATCAACAGGACCAATCCACACCGGTTCCAGCACACGAACCGCGCAAAGCAACACATGAAAGGAACATATAGGGATGACAAGGCTGCTGGTTCAACACTTGCTGTATCACTCAAAAGGTGAGATGTTGAGGTGGGAACAGTCAAAAGGACATAGCAAAAGAACAAGGGCATGGCAGAAAAACATACAAAGTCTTTAGTCTAAATCTTCTCTATCAAATTGAGGAAGATGTTGGGAAAATATCATTCAACAAATCATGGGGAATCAACAGCCCTGTAATATTCCCCCTAAAAAGTCCTGAGCCGTGTCAAAAACATAAAATGACACGTTATTATTTTGCATAGCGGGCTTACACATAATCACATGTTTGGCTTGGGAGGAAAACATGAACACACCACTCATCCTAATCTAGAACTGCCGGAGCTGGCACAACCAAAAATGGATATTACTGTAAGAGGAATGCAATGATTGAACTCCTGCAGTTGTTGCAACTCACCTAACATTTCTTCAAAAAGCCAACCAACCACCGGTTTAATTGTAACCTAGACAAAACAAAATGGAAAAGAGCATCGGGCATGAGGAGGAACACAATTTAGCGATGTGTGAACTTGCAAAGGCTGTGACGTTGAAAATGGAAGCGTCTTGTGAAACATGAGTTGTTACCACCATGAGTTACCTAAAGACCTACAGTAATTGCTGCTGAATACTGAAGCGATTACTCAAGCGATATGCCAAAGGTCGCAGTCCTCCCAAAGTTGTCTCACCCAAACCGCAGGTGGTGACGTAGTGCCAGTGCTACCTTGTACGCTGCAAAGAAGATACACACAAAATCACCGAGCGACATGCCCAGTCGCATTGGAAGTCTGAATTTGTTTTGGCGCTGAAGTGCAAAAGGGTCAAGTTTCAAGAGCTCTGCGGGCAAGCCACAAGCATCAACAAGACATCTGTGATGCAACACACTTGATAAGACAACACAACACTGAATAAAACATACCGTGGAATTTGTTGATTGACAAGATTTGGGGACAAAGAACTTGATACCAAATACTTGTAAAAGCGGGGAGGCAGCACTCTTGAAACTTCAAAATTGTCTTCCTAATCTTTGTTGTGTCACTGGACTGGAAAAAATACGCAACGAAAGCAATCCCTGCATCACAATGAACCACCTTGAGATCGAAAGCAGGCAAAGTGAGGAAAGACCGCATGGAGTTGCTTTTGTTCGACTAAAAGTGCATCCAAGTTTCTTGCACCCATACTGTCGACACGCTCCAGCTCTTGGGCAATTGTCCACCTCATCAATGTCCCTGATGGCACGAGTGCATTTTTATGCTCACCCTCCCAAATGCCTTCGGGAAGGTCGAAGGCTTCTGCCCGTTTTGGCACGATGCCACCCACATTCTTCTGAGCGATGAGCTCCGCAGCCTTGTCTGCCTCGATGTTCTAGACAGGAGACCAGCCCTGCTTCGCCAAGTTCTGCAGATGCTTCTTTGCTTGAGGGTCAGACGCGCAAGACTGCAAGCCGGGACAATCTAGCAAAACAAAAGGGTCAAAGTCCTTCCCAAATGTTCGCAATTGCTCCACTCCTCGGCAGCAAAGGTCAACGTCTCCGCCACAATAGGTGAAGAATGCCTCTGCAATGGGTCTCGCTCATGTTCCATCGGTTCACCATTAGCTTCAACATCTCCTCCTTGGGCACCTCGTTGGCAATGATAATGTTTCGGATATCCCGCAAGTTCATGCCACAAGCTTGAAGTCGGTAAGGATAACCCAGCTCTGAACTGATGAGCACAACGCTTGCAATGCTAGTCTCCTTGGTGAGCATCACGAAGTATTGCAATGCTCTTTGTGCCGACTCAGAGTCGGTAGCCACTGGTAGGGCTTGGTTTGCCTCATCCACGACAATGCAGGTCGCGTTGCCTTTGCCTTTCAAGTCGCGTATAAGACTTGACAGAGTCTTTTCCTTGTCGCTGCTTGATAACCCCTCAATCAGGGCTGTAATCGAGGCCATCTTTCCCACAATTTGCTTGAGATTCGAGGCAGAGTCCTTGCTTTTTTCTGCAACCCTTTGTAATATCGCGTTGAAAAGTTCTTGACTCGGGTGCTCCCTCATGTTCACGTCAACAATCGTCAGTTTGGCGTTTGCCTCGTTTTCCGTTTCGCAGACTGTCTGATTGCGTATCAGAGTTTTGCCAAGGTTCTTGCCGCCAAGTACTAGAGTGAACTTGTTCGAGAGCATCGCATTTCTCAGTGCCTCCAAGAAGCCGTCCCTGTCCACAATCTCCCTGCTTTTGATAAATTCATCTTGGAGCCGTATTTCCTCAACTCCTAGGCCTCCACTTTTAGCAGCCTCGCAAGTCAGCCTGTAGAACTCATATGGTGGACGTAGTCTTGGTCCTCCTGTGTCTTCTTTGCGGGTGCTGCGCAATCCGATGCTGGAACTCTTGCCTTGATGTCTTGAACAATCTAAAATGAACAAAAGCAAGAAAATGCTTCACTAAGGTCTCTAA